CACACACACACACACTACAGAGGTAACTCAAGGAAGTTCTGTACTAGTGGTACATTGTATAAATGATAACTTTTGATAAAGCAACAATCTATCTTCTCTGGGAGAGATTTATGCCATCTTTGAGTCATTAATAGTATATGACACTGGTTTCCACTCAGAGCTGAAACAAATCATCGTAGAGTTTTTTGTTGTTCTTGTATCAAGTATATTTCAAAAGCTTTTGAATTTATAAAATGTCTGGAAATTTACAAGAATGAAGTTGACCAAATGTACATTTAATGGGAAAACCAAATCAAACTCAGATGTAATCTCAAGGTGTTTTTGTGGACTTCATATTCCTAGTCTTTTCAGAGGGGCATTGGTTTCTTTTTCTGTGATGTGAATTTAATTGGTTCCAGTATAAGTTTAAATTCAATAAACAGGTGATTACCCACCATGTGCAAAGCCATACACTAGGTGCAATCATGGGCTGTGCTCATGTAATCCTTACATATACCCAGTGAGGAATATGATCCTATTACTTCAAAGAAAGTCTTGTAAAAACTATGACTCATCCATGATTACGTGACTAATCAGTGGTATTATAGGAATCATAAATCATGTTATTTTATCCTTAAATCGATTATACCTTCCAATAAAATTATAAGGAGAAAAGTCTTGAAAATACTTCCTTGTCCACATTCTATTGATTGTTGCAGGATCAACAATCTGATTCATCAAAGGATGATTCTGTTGCTGACTCATTAAAGGAAGATGATGTTGGTTAATGCCATGACTTTGGAGTCAGGCCAACATGGGGATGAACCCTGGCTCTTCAGTTGTGGAGAAATGTCATGACTTTGAATAAAGTTGTTTGGGTTTTAACTTGCAAGCCTCAATTTCTTTACCAAACAATAGTAATACAGCATTTCATAGGGTTGTAATGAGAATCGAGTACAATACTGAACATAGAGTATTTAGCAGAGCACCCAGGAAATTGTACAGATTCTTAGTAGTTATTATTCATAGAGATAGTGGTGGGATAAGAAGATAGTATACAAATGGGCTAACAAAAGATATTTATTGTGTTCAGGGACTTATGAAGAATTTTCTTATTAATAAAATTGTATTGATCTCACTGAAGATGTTGGTGATAAACAGCCCGCATAAAGTATTTGTCAGCTTTAGGTGATGCTTTTTTAAGATATTTTAAAATATGGAACCAGAATAGAACATTTTTAGGTTATATCCGTATTTTAATTATTTTGCTAATGGATTGGGAATAATGGCATGAATAAATTCTGACAGGTGAAGAGTTCCCAGCCCTCTTTAAGAAATGCATACAAAACTAATTATATATATTCTTTGAGTCATTAAAAAAAATTCTACAGCTGTTATACAGTGGTTATACAACTATTTTGACAGGCTCTTAGAACAATTTCTCTCCTTAAAAATCATTCACTTTCTACTAAAATTAATGTCTAGCACAATAGGTCAGAACTTTATCTGTAAGCCAGGAGAAATTAATTTGGTTTTCATTATATGTAGACAAATTAATTTTGTTACAATTAATAAAAAATAATTTATATAATGTATGACAGAGAAGTTTGGCTTTAAAAATACTCCTGGTACAAGGAATCTGGATTGGGAATACACAGGATCAGTCTTTATTATACAGGTACACAGACATCTATACAATTCAAGATTGATTATATTAAAACAAGCTGAAGTTTCCCCAGATTTAAATATAACCATAGAGTTTCATTTATTTCCTGTAGACTTCTCCACATTAACTTGGTCAACATACATCAAAGTGTTTAAAGTGATAACCTTGGATATTTGTCTATATACTATGAGGTTGACAAAGTACAAAGAACCTTGTGCAAGAATCAGAATCTTAAATATAGTCTTTGCAGATTTAATCTTTCATGAGAATAAAATAGATAAATGTAAGAATGGTTCATCCTTTAAGGGTAAGTTAAATTTTGTTACTGGGAAATGACTTTTGAAAATGATATCTCTGGATTCAAAAAAGAAATCTCCGTTTGTAAATATAAAGGGACAGTGTGTGTGTGTGTGTGTGTGTGTGTGTGTGTGTGTGTGTGTATTCTAGTTTATTCATACCATTGTCACCCTTTTAATTATCATCTTTTTAACTAAACGATAAGTTTTAAGGCTTTAACCTTTAGGTCCTCAGTGAATGATCTATTTCATAGCAAAAACATCTTAAATTCAAATTATAATCCTATTTTCATTTCTTTTTCTCAGATGATGAAACATGCTTGGAATAATTATAAACGTTATGCCTGGGGATTAAATGAACTGAAACCTATATCAAAAGAAGGCCATTCGAGCAGTTTGTTTGGTGAGTAGAATGTGCTTTGGTTTCTTAGTGACAGTAACTTTTCTCCGATTGATGGAACTTGTGGGTGATAAAGTTTGTGTGCCCCTCCAGGCCATGTTGCTAGGAAACTTACATACCTGCTGCAGTTATCTGCAAGGACTGGGCATAGTGTGTCCTTCAGACAGAGCACTCTACATTTGAATCACTTGAGTACCTTTAAAAAAAAATACTGATGCCTGGGGAACAGTCCCAAAGATTATCATTTAATGGCTATGGGTGCAGCATCAAGACTTTTAGCTCCTTGGGGTGATACCCAGCAGAGGAGCGTTTGGTCGGCTGCATTAACTGCTTCTTGTCAGGTAAAAGTTGTGTCTTTATCGATAAGCTTTATTGATCACCAGCCTGCCATGGTGATCTTCACTGTATCTTGGTGACTCTCAACTTTAGCTCTGGGTTTCTCCTGTTTGTGCCGTGGAAGAGAAAGTGAGAATGGATGGTCAGTTATTTGAATGTCCATTTATCTGCGTTGGCATGCTTCATTGCATTTTGTCCTCACAGCATCCCTTTATGTTTGGTACTGTGGGTATTAATAGCAATCCCATTGTGACGTGAGGAAGCTAGGGAACAGAAGTGTTAGGTGGATTCCTTGGGTCACAGAGCTACCATTGTCATTCTCCTCACACTTGATTCTTTTTTATCCTGCACAATTTTGCCTATAAGTAATAGGATGAAGGGGATAGAGTCTTATTCCAACACTTCTTAATTCCACATAGAAAATGTGACTTTTTATACTTTAACTGAAGGTGTTAAATAGTATCAAATCATATAACAAACAACAGAATCAACTGATATTTATTATGCATTAAGCACCATTTGTGTGTCATCTCCCTTAACCTCATTATTATACACATTTTATAGATGAGAAAGATGCAGCTCAGAGCATAACTTGCCCATGTGAGCCACGTACTAACAGGCTGAGCTGGGGCAGAACCCAGGTGTGTCTAAGGTCAGAGTCTGTGGTCCTCTTTTCCATTTATTCAGGATCTTCCATGTGTTTGGCTCTCCTTCCAGTACTGTGTTAACACAATACAAGTCTTTGCAGAGTTCATGGCCTTGGGCAGAAGAGCTGTGTGTAAACAGTGAGTTGTCAGAGCATTAGAAGGGTCAGTAGATATTCGTCTGAAGTTCAGATATTCATATGAAGTTGATTCCAGGTGGGAAGAAGAGAATTGTAAGAACAGTTAGGGAGAGCTGGCAGAGTAGAAGAAAGACTGGTTGGTCCATCACAGTGATGCAGACCTGGAAGAGAGCCCAAACCTGGAGTAGTGACAGAAGTGCTTTCAGGTGTTTTTATAAAGTAGTGTTTTCAGGACACAGTGACCAGTTAACATGGGTGTTGAAAGTTAGGAATTGAAGACAAATTTAGAAGCTTCATGCAGACTCAGAGGCCTTTGTTTTTTCATTGTTTCCTATAACTTTTTAAAATCGAATTCTGTTTTTGCTTTTATCCCTATAAAAGTTGCTTGTATAATTAATAACTCAGTTTTGTGTAAATTTGTCAAAATCTTTGTTAACGTGTTGATGATTTTTTTAATTATTCTTAAGCATCGAAACATACTAAGTCTCTTAGTATGGAATGTGCATATGAAGAAGACAGGTCTTTTCCATTCTGAGGAAGTTTACAGGCTAAAAGAGATGCATACAAGTAATTATAATGGAAGGCAGAAAGTGATGAATGCAAGACCAATGTAAAGTCTTCATGTCAAGGGAGTTCGAAGGAAATGAATCATAAAGTCAAGATGGGGTGGGTGGGTGGAAGGGGAGGTTAGGATCAGTCAGGCCTTCAAAGAGAGTGAATTCCATTTTAGAATAATGGCTTCTTAGAGCTATCATAATTTTAGATCTAACTATATTTAAAAATTTTGCACAGGTGCACTTTGATGTGATTACATTCAAATTAATATGTGTGTTGCTCCTTTGTTTCAGATCTACTTTTTGTTGCTGGAGAATTCAGTCACAAATGAAATGTCTAAGAGATTATTTTCTACAAGTTCAGAAGAAACTTTAAAGATTAGTGTATCAATTCATAGCCTGTGATTATTGTTAGTTTGGTTTTGATGCAGCTTTTACACTCTCTTTTACTGAAAGAAGTTTAGACTGTGTTCATTATTACTATTATTAATAAATTCTGTATTCTCCTTTTCCACGGATGGTCAATTTGCTTGTATGTGTGTCAAATATTTTAATCAATAAATGTTTTTCTGATATTTTCAGGTAGTATTAAAGGAGCAACAATAGTAGATGCCCTGGATACACTTTTTATAATGGAAATGAAAGATGAATTTGAAGAGGCAAAATCATGGGTTGAAGAAAATCTAGATTTTAATGTGGTGAGTTAAACAAAAATTGCCAATTCAGTTTTTAAAACTCAGTTTAACATGGACAAATTCTGTTGTGGGGCCAATTATTGTGCTATATACCATAGCAGAAACAAAGAATGCATGTTTAAATAGTACCATACTATATTCTTGCCCCCGTTACTGTGGAAGTACATGTTTTTGTTTTTTAGCAAATTAGGAGTAAGGAAAAAGAAATTAAAATCTGTCAAGGCCAACATGTGCCAAGTGTTGGTGTTCAAGTCCCATAACCACCCTATGAGATGGCCATTATTTTCACACTTGTACAGGCTATAAATTGGAGCCTCAGAGGCTTATCCAGATCACACAGCTAGTTGTGTGTCAGAGCTGTGAGTCTAGCAGAAATCTGTGTGGCTCCATGCTCATGCTTTTGCACCGTGGGCCATGGCACATTGTTTTCATTTTATTAAATTAACTTTTGTTAATTGGAGTACAGGGTACCAGGTGGTGAGCTGCAGTCCAACAAAAGACCACAAGAGAAACTCCAGTAGAGAAGCTTATTACTCACGGGTCCTGAGGAGGTACGCAGCAGGCCTCCAGGGGCCACACAGAGAGGTCAGACAGAGTATAGACAGAACCTGGGGCACATGCCTTTAGTAGGGTGGGTATAGTGCTTTGGAGTCAAATTGGTCAATTTGTACTGGAAAGAGCTACGTTTTGGTAAGGTCCACAGGAGTCTTTTCTAAGGTGTGCACAAGGGGAAGGCCCTGAGGGGCTAGGGAGACGATTGATCACAAGGGCGATTGGGGGAGCCATGCCAGGAACTTGGATTTGCTTGTGACTGCGTGGGCTTAAGGCCCCCCACAGGCTATGTGGCTGCCAAGGCTGCAATACCAAGGAGACCTCCACTAAACTCTCAATATGCATCCACTGTCACATAAATAAGGCTTCAAAATTTGTTAGTTCTATACCCTTGTCTGCATAAAATGTTGTCAATATGTATTTGAAGCCTTTAAAAATCTTTGCGCGTGTACCATCATTCTTAACAAATACATCAAAATCTATTGTATACCAAGGAAAAGGTTCAGAATTAAGGAGAGCGGACACTTCAGAACTTCTTGATAATTTTGATTTGGGAGGACAGCATCTTGTCAGAGCTCATCTAATTCCATAATCAGTGTTTTGCCTCATGATGAGATTGGCAAAAAACTTGTTTTAAAAAAGCGGAAGAGGGACGCCTGGGTGGCTCAGTCGGTTAAGCATCCGACTTCAGCTCAGGTCATGATCTCGCGGTCCGTGAGTTCGAGCCCCATGTCGGGCTCTGTGCTGACCACTCAGAGCCTGGAGCCTGTTTCGGATTCTGTGTCTCCCTCTCTCTCTGACCCTCTCCCCTTCATGCTCTGTCTCTCTCTGTCTCAAAAATAAGTGAACATTAAAATTTTTTTTTTTTAATTAAAAACATAAAAATAAAAAAAAAAAAGCGGAAGACTGTTGGCCCAGCTATGTTCTAGTCATTCATTTATGTTTGCATTATTAGTATTTTTAATCAGAGATTGTTTCACAGAAAGCCTTATAAGCTTCTTGTCTATCTGGTAAGCATTCGATAGTATCTGTAAATCTCCATAACCAGGCACAAGCAACATGCTGTATGTTGAAACTGGACATAGAAAGAGTGTTTCCCTCTCAACACCTCCACTTTGTGGAGCTCTTGTTCTCTCACAGACCCAGTGAGGACAACAGTGTCAAAATATTAAAGATCGATAAAACTAAATCTTTTTCCTAACTCTTTGCATTAAAAACCTATATAAATTAAAAGTTTGAATATTTTGTTTCAAGGCTGCATGCTGAGCTTAAGATTCTCTCCCTCCATCTGTATTCTCTCCCTCTCT